TTGATCAGGGATAACAATGAGGTCAGTTCCAAAACCTAGTGAGCTGCCTACCTGGACAGCATTTTAGCTGAGCTTCTGACACAAAATGTGTCTCAAAGCGGTGGAAAGTAAAAGTACTCCATTTAAGGCCAAATTTTAAGGCAATCCCAGAATGTAATGCAACAAAATCTGTAAAATCTTTCTTTCATCATGGTGTAGGAGTCATAGATATGAATATATTTCATTCAATACTGAAAAGAATTGATAAATAATAGTTAAATCTTATTAAAAAAGGTCATATTTACCCAAAATTTATAGGCGAACTATTGTGCTTTTAGCATAGCAACATGCTAACATAAAACTCCATTGGAATCAGTTGCAAGCAGAGACAAACCCATATGTTACTCATCAGGCGAGCTATCTGTGTGACATACAGAGTTGTTGTCTATATAGATTGATACAAATCAGTCACTTAGAAGGTTCTATTTTGGAGGATGTTTCCTAGACAAGCAGACAGGAAGGCAGCTCACTAGAAACGGGACTGAACCCAAAACAACCTAGTAATGATGTTAAAGTACAAATGGGAACAAACACTCATCTGTTACCGTTCAGTGGTCCTATAGATCATTTTTTTAAAGCTAGTTTTTCATCTTTCGCAATTTATGGGCTCATGTCCTTCCATGTTATTCACTAGCATGATTGCTGTCAAGTCAAAAGAAAACGGTAGGCCACTGGCTTTATCAAATCACCCAGTGAGCTCCAAGATCTAATTCCCGCAAATCCAACAAAGCAAGATATCAACCTCAAGCGTGCTACGCTAATTTCCAGCTTTGGTTTTTTTTTCTGGATGGGGAATTGTTCTAATCGTCACTCATAATTGTTTGAGTCTATGTGCCAAATACCTCTTCACAATTTACTCCACCTTCAGACGTCCGCGCGGGAGAATTGTCGCGCGTGACAAATACGGGTTTCTACAGGGTAACCACTGCTGTGGAGTCCCCTTGATGAACAGGCTTTGCTGTTTCCTGTCCAATGATCCTCAAGTCAGTTCTAACACCATAAAAGCTATAGTAAAGTCGCGTTTTACCACTTTTTGCATGTTGTATTTTTTCAGTGTAGTTTGTATTAGACTTTTAAAGCAATATGCTATGGGATAGAACTTTATTTTTTCTAATACAAGCAAAGGTACTTAAACGCCTCTGGAGCTGTGGTATTTTAGACGTGTGAAGGGATAAGTCCTGTGTTTCTCTTATCGGTGGAAGATCCATACATTTTCCCTTGTAAATTGTTTAACGAAATTCTTTTTCAACCGTGGTTTCCTTTGTTTATCAATGTGAGAAGCAATATAGATCCGAATGTGGATGCGAGAGCGTGTGTGTTTGTGCTATTTGTAATGTTTGCTTAAGGTCAAACCCCCAGACAAGGCTTTAAAAGATCAGACGCAGCAGGGTGAGATGATGAATTGTATGTAAGAACGAACGTTTTTTTCCCCCAGGAATGTAATGTTTTACGTAGCACTGAGCTTGAATCCCTTGACGAGGCTGTACAAGCATGACACACTGCACCTCGACGTTAATTTCGATTAAAGTTATGCAAACGCAACAAGGCCTATGCACTCACAGTTTGAACGAAAGTCACATTTACCGATATTTTTTTTCTCAATTCCGATGACGTGTCATGTTTGCGACAGCATTCAAGCTGAAGGTTAAAGTGTTACTAAGATTTACGTCAATCCTTTTCCTTGCGTTTTCTATCCAAAAGCACAGCTGATGCGTTATTAAAAGTGAACTATGTTTAGATAATAGACGAAAAGAAAAGTCTTTAGCCATAATCAAATGTCAAGCAATAATATATAGTATGTTATGATTCATTTTGTGCATAGGCTTTGAACATCTGCATGTAAATACATTTTCTTATTTATCACGTTTCATTTTGTTTCGCTTTGGGTTTTTTCGCTCTCTGATTGTCATTTTTTTTGTTTGTTTGTTTTATTTGTATATTGACTAGTTCTGTTCCCGGGTGGAGAACTACGAACGTCAAATGCCCTGTAAACTGTACAGCTATGTTTCCCTGTCCTCCTTTCGGCTTTTAATTCACGATATTTAATGTTCTATCGATCACATGTATAAAAGTAACTTTGTAACTTCTGTCTGTATAGGTAAGAAGAAAATACTGCTATTAAGACCTGCTCAGTGCAAATATTTATCTGTTTTATCAGACACATCATGCTGTACAATATCTCTGTTTTGAGTATACTTCTCTCTTTTAGACTTAGTTCGATTAGCGGTAGGGTGTGCGGACATTAATTTTTGTGTTATACTGATGTGTGGTGCTAGGTAAGTTACTTTTGTGAACAAAAATTATGGATTCATAGACTAGGCCACCCTCTTAGTCAATTCATTTCACTGAGTATTGATGCATTATTGATATTAGGACTTGATAAATAATAATAATGATAATAACGATAAAGATAATGATAGTGGTAAATTTACTTTCGAATACCCAGCAAGTACCTGTATCAGTGTGCTAGTCTTGGGACGCGGCTTGTTTCCTTCCCACTTTTAAGATTAGGCTATTAGCAAGTATCGGCTAAGTAAATCTCTATTAAACGTCACAATTTTGAATTTTTCGCAACAAAGATGATTGTTCATGCTTTAAAAAATGGAAAAAGCAGCAGTATTGCGTTTCTTTTTGATTGTTTCGAAACTATAGCTGGAGGAGTTTCTAATCCAGTGCTTATTTTCTGCTGGAAGGACTTTAAACGCACGTTAAAGTACCGGATTGTTTGCCGCTATTTGGCTCCCTCCATTTTTTTTTTTGTTGATTCTACCTTCTGTTTTTTAAAAACGCGCTTCATAAAAGTTTTTTTTCCCTATCCTAAATCCACTCACACTTACATATACACACAATGGTTAAGTGTTATAAATTGTACAGGACAAAGGTGGTTGTACGAAGTTTTGTCGAAACTTCCTGTTTTTATCTTTGTAGCAAGGCAGAATCTACTTGCAATAATACATAGCAAACTACACTGAGTGCCTCTCAGTGGTATAGGATGCAGAAACTCTTATTCGTCCGTTTTGTTTTCACATACTCAAATGACTGTGTTTGCACACATAGGTGAATTCTGTCTTGTGTTACTGACTTTTCTTTTCATTGGCCGTCTTTTGAGGCGTTTCATGTTTGTTTATAGCCATGGAAACAGCATTTTCTTGTCTCTGTGATGTCCTGTATTTTCTGAGATTCTCAGATGCTACTTTTTCTTTTCCTCCAAACATCTTCACGTTGGTTGTGGGACATTGCATCCAGTCAGTTGCACCCTGGTTGGATGTTAAACACAAACCCCATTTGGATATTTGCAGAGACAAACTGGCGGACAATAGACAATCCACTCCATGTTCTCCCTGTTGTTTCCTGACAATTAGGTTTTAAGTTGACTATTATGAAACAAAATGACTAATGCAATGTATTTTAAGTGTTCATATGTGTATGTTAATTGATGCATACTACACTTCTATTTCTTGTTGAGCTGAAGGGGAGGGCACAAGGGCTGGGGCAGGATGGGTTGGATTTTACTCCTGCTTACCGGCAGGGGGGACAAAAGCAGAGAACGGTTTGCGGTTGTCACATATTTTTACGTCACATGTTTGCTACTGATCTTAAAATGGGGACAGTCGATCATGTACCTTTTTATTCAGCTCTTTGGAACTCTCTTTAGGAGATAGTCTCTTCTCAATAGTAGTTTTGCTCCTTCTGTTTGTCTGATTCTTAAATATGAAAATAAGTATTTTGATTCATTTTGTAAATACCGCTGTAAAGAAAAATAAGAAATTTAATGTTGTCTTTTAAATACTTTTCATTCTAATATGAATGTTGTTATATTGTACTTAGAAACTGTACCTTTAATATTACCTTTATTAAAAGTGCATTGGACACATCGATTTTAGATGTGCTTTATGTGCTGTTATCCCATAATAAAATTTACCGCTTGTAATGGGCTCTTATTCAGTGTGTGTCATTCTTCTTTATGTAGTTCATGGTTGGAAGTAATTTCCACAAAACCTTCAGAGATGGAAGTGGAGGAACAGAACACACATTTAAAAGAAAACTTCAAAACTTACAGACACTAATGTTACATTTGATGGAGTGGAAGCCATTACCTTTTCTCGGAGAAGCAGTAGGCATTAAATGTGTTAAATATAAAGAAAATATGAGATACGTACATGTGGACTCAAATAGTTTGAAGTGGGTTGCAAAGTTTACTTAAAGGGATAGTTCACCCAAAAATGAAAATTCTGTCATCATTTACTCACCCTCATGTCGTTCCAAACCTGTATGAGTTGCTTTCTTATGTTGAACACAAAAGAAGATATTTTGAAGATGGCTGGTAATCAAACAGTTGGTGGTTGCCGTTGACTTCCACAAAAAAATACTATGGTATACAACCGTACTCTTGCAGACGTACTAGGGAAAGCCTTCTGAACTGTGAAGACTTGACATGAACTCATTCCCAGATAGCACACGTACATCTGCTGGACGTATTGTAGATGTGCAAACACTCTTAAAAATATGTCTTGAAGATGTAAATGCAGACGTCTAATAAACGTCTCTGTGATGTACGTGCGCTATCAGGGTCAGAAACTAAATTAACACAACATGTGAAAGGGACTGAGGAAAACTGTCAATTTAAAAAGTCAAAGTGTCTCGTCATAAACATACTTGATAAAAGATTCTACATTTAATTGTGCTTAAGTATTAGCCTTAATCATTTAAACTCATTCTAATTTCTGACTGGAATCAGATTTGCTCTTAAAGTATGATACAAAAACTTTTTCATCAAGCTATTTATTGATCTTTTTCAGTATGTGCCGCCAAAACCCTACACCACTGGAAGTAATTGTTTTTATATATTTATTGTTTCACATTTATTGTACCAATAAAAGCATAATAATTAAGAAGTGCGAAAAATCTCAAACGTGTGATAGGAAGCGGAACCTTTGTGTCATGTTTTGGTTCTAGCCGGAAGATTCATCTATCGCATTCTCACTGTTGTGATGAGGGACCGTCAGCGTGCGAGAGTACTTGGGAGACTCGGCGGTCATGGAGTTCAAATGGTAGGTGAGAATATGATTCGCTGAATAAACACATTTTCATGCTGACCAGTTTAATAAACTGCAGTCAGCTGGTTTGTCCTCAGGAACGACGCTCCTGTCACTGGGCCACTTGAGTTCTCCAGAGATGTGTTTGACAAGTTCACTCTCGCGCCCACCGTCAAAGAACTGTTTGCTCTTTTACACAGGTAAGTGACTGTGCTCAAACCCTACGACAAGTGTTGCGAAACTGCGTTATTATTAGCAAGAGCGTAATAACCACATATAAAATGGCTCTTCATTAACCTAATTAGATCGTGTAACCATGGTTACAGCTTTCAAACTATCAGTGCTATCTGATATGGGAAAATAGTAGCCTAAATACTTGAATGTACAACATTTCTACCAAATGTTCATAATTACTATAGTAAAACCATGGTCATTTTTGTAAGGGATACTCTGTAGATGAAAAGGGTTTTAAAGCATCCTTCAAATCTCATTTGTCAACAAAAAGTTTGTAATCATTTACATTTTAATCATTAAATATAATACAATTTAGTATGATCACTTTAAAAAAAAAAAAAAAGAAGCTTTTTAATAAGTGAGTTAATGGTCAGAATAAGTATGTTGTTTCATTTTTACAAATATATCTGGTGGAACATTATTTTACACATATTTTGACATTTTATTTTCTGAAAAGTTGTTTGAAACATTAAAGTAGACAATTTACTTTGCATGTAATATGCTTTTTATGTGTATAAAATCACTTTTGAAAATGTAGTTTAATGTGGACACCAAATGTATTGATATATATGTGTGTGTGTGTGTAATATTTTTTTATTTTGAGTGGATGTTCACACAGACAATGCCACAAAAGTCCCATTTTCTATCCCAATGAAGTAAAAAAAAAAAAAAAAAAGGTTATTTGTTTTCTGTCTAAAATAAGACTACAAAAGAGTTAAAGGAACACTCCACTATTTTTGAAAGTAGGCTCATTTTCCAACTCCCCTAGAGTTAAACCGTTGAGTTTTACCGTTTTCGAATCCATTCAGCCGATCGCCGGGTCTGGCGGTAGCACTTTTAGCTTAGCTTAGCATAGATCATTGAATCTGATTAGACCAGGGATCCTCAAATCTGGCCCACGAGATCCACTTTCCTGCAGAGTTTAGCTCTAACCCTAATCAAACGCACCTGAGCATGCTAATCAATGTCTTCAGGATCATTGGAAAATCACAGGTAGCTGAGTTTGATCAGGGTTGGAGCTGCAGCGCATTGGACCTCCAGGGTAAGATTTGAGGAACCCTGGATTAGACTGTTAGCATCTCGCTCAAAAATGACCAATATATATAGATATTACGCGGCGCCTGAAAATAGTCCCCAGCACGCTCCCTGTGCAAGCAGGTGGTCACGTTGGTTATGTTGACGGAAGTTAGCCTATTTTCAGGCGCTGCGTAATATCATTGCGCCTGCTGCACCCGTGGTACGGCAGCAAAGTTCCTTGATTATTACGCCGGAGTGAGAGTACAGTTCCTAGCCATATCGGCCTAGAAAATCATAACTTTTCATTTTCAGGCAGTCTTAGTACGCGATGTAACTACAGAAGAGTCAAGTTTTAAATAGGAAAAATATCAAAACTCTTTGGTCATTTTTGAGTGTGGTGCTAACGGTCTAATCAGATTCAATGATCTATGCTAAGCTAAGCTAAAAGTGCTACCGCCAGACCCGGCGATCGGCTGAATAGATTCGAAAACGGTAAAACTCAACTGTTTAACTTTAGGGGAGTTGGAAAATGAGCCTATTTTCAAAAATAGTGGAGTGTTCCTTTAAA